TATCCAACTGTTGTTTTATGATGCGGGACAAAATAGAGTTGCTGGCTGAAAGCTTTGCAAAAGCAGAATAGGGGCTGATTGATTGTAAATGAGATGTAAACAGTGGTTCATATGAAAATATAGATACTGTAAGCGGTAGTAAATTTGGTCCTGTTTTGATTTTTAAATTGTTCATTAACTGAATTCATCCTTTAGGAGAGTGGAGCTGACGTTGTATTCTGTTAGGTTTTATTGTGACTGTGGCTGTCTCTCTGCTGACCTGGGCAATACCCTTTGACAGTAACAGTAGAAGCTGACAAATGAATTAGTTGTCTGTGGAAAACGTTACTTGGTGTGAATAAGGTTTTGCTCTTAGGTGGCCTAAAGGTAAATTGTCATTAGATACTTTTCCTTATAATTCTTTGTGCCAATATAACTTTTGTGTGTAGTTTTTTTTGAATAGTAAATTTCTCCATTTTTATTCAGCATTGTATTTTGACTCTTTGTGTGTGTTGAAATATTTTTCTTGTAATTTGAATATGGTAAAGTGATAAAACCAAAAATTCCAGACAGAGATCTGGCAATTGTAACTGGAGAACTCAGACTATAAGAACTGATAAAGTTTTCATAGTGTGGTAATTGTCATCCAGCAGCTTTAATTTTCTTCAAAGTTGACCTTTGAAATATCTGGGGTAATGCCTAGTTGTGATACTTCTATTCATTTGTGATTACGTACGTTGAGAGTATTTTGCAGCCTGAAGGTTTAAGAAAAAGAAGTGTGGGGGCAAAAAGGTACAGATGTACTAACGTTCAGTTGAAGATTTCTGTCTGGCTATGGCTAACCTATCTAAAAGGAAAGCTTGTATTAGGAATTCTTTTGTATTGAAGGGTCTGTCTCTGTTCAGGGATTTAATTTCTTTAAAGGATTTAGTGTACTGACATGAAATACAAATGCAGTCCTGTTTACTATGCGTAATGTATAACAAGACTTCTTTTTTTTGTAAACTCATTTTTGGTATGATAAGAGGAATAAAGGCAATGTTTCTTCTGTATATCCGACAAAATCATATAACCGCAATTTTATTTAATAACCATCTTTTTAAAGACAAATGATGTGTAGCCTGAATATTATTAAAACTGTTTGTATGTGTAATGTGGCAGAAGAATTAGGCTTTTAGGAGCAACTAGCTGAGCAGAGATTTGTAGCTTTTGTAAGGCTTAACCATTTATTATTAGCTGTCATTTGTCACAATGGTAGTAGATCTTCCTCTGTAGTTCTGGCCATGCAGCCACTGCATTTGTTGGAACATACCAGCTTTGTAAAGTTATTTGATAGTATTTGCTTGCTCCTTACGTAACTCATAGGATAACATAAAATGTTTTCTCTGGTTCAAATACGGAATATTTTTTAGGAAATACTTAGCCTGAAAGTTACTTTCCGAGTGCCCTTATCCTAAAAAAAAAATGCAGGAGATGCCCAAAAATGAAGGAATGTCTACTGTGACCTAATATGTGATACAGAAATTAATTTAGTCTGTTTTATCAGTTCTATTGAGATATGGGAATAGTATTGCTTATGTCAGTAGGATTGCAGTGCTGTGAGAAAAAAGCACTTTTGCCATTTGTTACCTCCACAGAACTGATTTTTTTTAATTTTATTTTGAGAGTTCTGTGTTTTGTAGTGTTAATTAGAGGAGTTGTTTTGTTTAACTAGTTATAGAAATTATGTTACACTTATGTTACACTTAATAAATTATGTTACTATTCTAATGAGCTCAGGGTTGTCTTGTTTTCAACAAGTATGGATAGGAATAACACAGGTGTCTGTAGATTTGTGAATACAGCATTATAGTGTGTTCCTACTTTCTTTCTTGCCTAAAAGCTCTATGCAGAGAATTACATGTAGGAAAAGTTTGGGTTTTTTTACCAACTACTTTCTAGATTTCTGGAGAAAATGCAGTAAAAAAGGGAGCAAATTGGCATAAACCAGCTCCAAACAGTAAGGCAGTGTAGAGAAAGGGGAGGAAATGTTGCAAGTTTTTCTTAGATGCAGTTTTGCTCATAATAGGGAAAGTGTATGTAAGCACACATTGAAGATTTGCCAGACATAAAAGTTGCGGAAAAATACATGCTGCAAATATGCTGAATTTTGCCTCAGGTATACTGGAATTTGAGAATTATCTCTGTATCCCATGGCAGGGGTAAAATCATGTTTGTAGCTGCTACATTGAGACTGTCACTATTGTTTCTTGACAAGATTTTAACTTAATAAGTTACACTTCAAATTTTATGTAGATGCACATGTAGTTGTATGGTTACTAATATCCAACATATTATTCAACTTCTGTGACTATTCTGACTTTCCCATACAGTTCTACTTAAAGTTTAAGGTGTGCTCATTTATTTTTTACCTTTTACTTTATAAACGTGTAGATATAGCAACCAATATTTGTATTTTTAATATGAACATAAAATTTTATTTTACTTAAGTAGAAGAAAGCATAATTCTATATTTTGGTTTTAAAATAAAACTACTTTGAGTTATGTTAGAAATAAGTCCTGGAGGAATCAAGCTGGATAGGCAGGCAAGCAGTGGTATAGCTAAGGAAGGTACTAACATAAATAGATTTATAGCATTAAAGAGTGTCAGGAGATTTGTTTTGTTTGGTTTTGAACTTTAAATAATCTGGGACTATCAAAAAGTTAAATTTTTTTAACATCAGTTAAGAAAAGACTCTCCAAGGTACAGAAGGAGGGAAACATTGATGCTTTGGGCAACTCAGTCTGTATTTGTTCATTTGGTTTTCCTGCCAGAGATTAATTTTACAATTTCTTTACAAACTATATAGTGCTTTTATGACTGGGAATTAATTGGTATGTGTTGTAGATAATTCAAAGTGTCTTTGCATGCTACTGTAGAAGATAAAAGCTTCCCCTCTCAGCTTCCCTGCAGAGGTGTACTGACAACCACAGTCCTTTTAGAGGAGTAATTGTTCTTGGAAGTGCTCTTCTGCCTGTTTCAGGGATAACTTCATAGTTAAGTAGTTCACTTTAAACCAAACCTGGAAATTGTGCCCTAAGTAGAGCTGCAGATTTGGTAACAACTGGAGGACTTTCCTTCACAGACTAGAAGTATCTTCATATCGTATTTAATATGGATCTATTATTTTGTTTCCCTACCTGTCTGTGGTCTGCTTTAGTTTTGCAGCCTAGACCTTTTTATAGGTATATGCCACCTGGCTGACTTTCTTAAAAAGGACTTTTGAATCACCTCTGTGGTTGTTTCTTACAGATATCCTGTGAATAGGGCTTAGAAGACTTGTTCACCTGATTCAGACATATTCTCAGCCTTCCTACATTCTAAATATTTAGAAGCAGCATAGCATTTAAACTTACTGGTGGTCTTCACCTGGAAAATAATCTGCAGTGTGCCAGTATTTAATCATTATCTTTACAGTTGCTCATTTTCATTATTTCTCTGCTTCTGAAGGGGCGCTTGTAATGGTCCAGTCATTTCAACTTTGCTTAACAGGATCTTGCACAGCCTCCTTCAAATACTAACAGTAATCAATACGATAGTTTGGGTTTTTTTAATTCATAATAA